TCTGCAACCAGACCTCCCGAATTCATTTTCCCCCAAGTTTTTCCATTCGAGGCCCGACATCGACAATCCAACCTAATCTGAAGCCAAACCTTCCGAATTCATTTCCCTCCCTCCTCCCAAGTTCTTCCATCCGAGATTCGATAACGCGAAGAAGGAACAAACACACAAGAAAGAAACGAGGGAGTAGAGAGAAGAAAGAGAGAGAGAGAGAGAGAGAGAGAGAGGGAAGCCGTGGCAGATGAAGGCTGCTTTGTAAGGACGATATCGCTAAGTGGAAATCAGTGGCCGGGTGGCGCCTCCGCCCTCTGCCCTTAAGGGCTTCTCTCGTTCACGCTCCTGGAATCGCGACGGCGACCCGCTACCGGGAACTTGCTAACTTCATTAAAATATTGCCATCAACACCGGGCCCCATTGTCTTAGAGCTTAACCGGCCGATTAACTCTAGCCGACATGCCTCCTGACGGGAACAGTAGCTGCATTTTCTTTCTGTCTCGCAAAAACTACCTTCCACAGCTAATGTTTCATTACTGCTCCTCTAACCAATCTGTATCTATCAATATCCCGTTGTCGGATATTGATGTGTAACCTAATTCGATATTTTATGTGTTGTAGAAATATAGAGGCTTACGAAGAAGTAATTAGGTTAGGTTTCGCTTTCACACGATAAGAGGAATTACTGAAATACGCTTGTACAACGCCACTGTAATACGATAAAGCGATATTTATTTAATATGTTATCGTACATATCGATAGCCAGCTTGTTTGTACGGTTGGCCTATTCTATTTGTGCATACATAAAAACAATTGGAATTGATGTCCGAATTTTTGTTACGTCAAAAAAAAGTCGCACAAAACCGCATTCTGCGTTTTCCATTGAGGTCGGGTTAGTTGCAGACCACTGAATACTCCGTGTTCAATAATTTTTCATTCTTCAATCAAGAATCATTGTACAATCGAGTGTCGCGTAATAAGTATTTGAAGGGCCACCTCGTTTAGAGGGCAATTCATTTAGCAACTGCGACTGTACACACTTTATTCTTTTCTTGATTGTTCCCTCCCAATTTTCAATTGCCCGACTAACTATTGCAACGACCAAGTTCGCCACCTAGGATCTCAATCTTTTATCTGTCTCTCAGAGAATCGTTTTCAAAAGTCCACTGTCATTCGCAATCAGCCTGCAAGCCTGTTTCATACGACGCTAGCTTTACATATCACAAAATTAGTGAGCAACTCCGGCTCGCGGACCGTAACGAGTGACCAAACCGTCACACAGTAACTCGCCTTCTTTTCGAATTCGTTGGTATATCATTGGACAGAAATCTACTAAGAAGTAATAAATTTATTATTTATTTTGCCTGGGTTATATTTCAATATACTTAAAACTGAGAAAATATTGCAATCTGTTTGCCAAGAAAGTTCTCAAGAGGTTAACTGATTCCTAGTTTCACGTAACACGTATCTACCGTATTATAGGAAGAGTATTTGTATTGTACGAAATATATCCTAAGAAGAAATAGGAGGAGGAAAGTCAAGGGGGGAGACCTCCCTAGGAGCAGATCGGTGCGAGGAATTCCGGACGTTTTGCACGTAGGGACAAGCCGGGGGACGTAATGGCAGCGCGGCCGGGTAAAACGGATGACAAAGAGGCTTTAACGATGTCCGCCGCGACGCGCTTCGGCTGAGTGACGTAGGACACGAGCCCGGTCGCGGCCCTTCTTCTTTTCCTCCTTGAAAGAGACGAGAAAACGAGCGCGCGTGTACGTCGGGCCGAACGAGCTACGAACACGGACCACGCACGTCGTACGAAGAAGCTGCTCGTTCCCGGTGCGGTTTTTTGCCGCGGCTGTAATTGAGCCTGTCTCGTCGAGCTACCGTCTAAATGAATTACGAGGCGCCGTGCACGCGGCACGAGCCCTATCCCCCCCCCCCCGGAGGCCATTCCACTTTTTTTTCGAAATTGCCGCGATTCTTCTGTGTCCGATGTTTGCGGGTTTCTTTCCTTTTTTTCTTTCTTTTCTCCACCGCTGCATCGTCTCGTTTCTGTATTTTCTTTTTATCTCTTTTCTTTTTTCCTGTCGAATTTCTTTTCGCTTCGCTTCGCTTCGATTCGATTCGTTTCGTCGGAAGGAAACTCGAAACACTCGCCCATACACCGGAGCGGCGAACGTTACACGCTTACAAAGAATGACTCTGTTGTTATGATTCACAGTTCGTCGCTGATTAAGCGCAGCTTGAAAAATCATATTCCGACGAGAGAAGTAGCGAGCCGGCGGCTCGATCAAAGAGACATCAGCGAAATTGCAAGCTGGTTGCAATTAACCACGTTTCACAGGCGAAAAAAAAAGCCTACGTCTCCTCCTATAAATCGGCAATGAACAAGCTCTTGTTCTATGGATATTCTAATTTTACTTTTTAATTCGTTGAGAAGTTTGAATAATGATATAATATATAAATTTTTCTAGAAATTTGAAAGAAGTGGTTGATATGGCATCTAACATCGATATTCGAAAGTAATTGCTGTTTAGGTACGTCGATAACTTGTTACCAACAGAAGTAAGTTACCTTCGGAGACATAAAGGATTCGTCGGTAAAATTACCGATCTTATCGACTAATTTATCTCGATTGTTAAGAAAAACGATGAGCAGAATAAACTTCACATTTAACGCGTGTCCCATCTCTTGGGCGCACCTTATGATTTATATGATATCTCATGAACCTTTATTGGTTCAATATAATGATACCACAAACGAGGTGATGATAGTTTCAATCACAACCACTGCCTAAGCATAAAATAGATGTGACACTATATAAGATTTTGTCTTTATCTGAAATACCGATATTCAAGAAAATTAATGCGTTTTTTGAGCTCTTTATGATTTTATTAGAATTATATTCAATATTCAACCACATGAAGACATTCATTTGTTAAATCGTAGACGAGATAGACAATAAACTAGATATGCTTTTGTATATCATGTATTATAATAAATTATAATATCCCAGTTCGTATCGTGTACTATAATATAATTCATATCAAATAATAAAATTGCCATAAACTCACTACATAGAGGTGTAAATCCTCCTTTTACATAAAAATTTTCTAATTTTACATAAAAAATGTCTGTATTCTTGTCAATCCACTTATGTAAAACAAATAACAAAATGAACTATAATAAAAATTGATACAAAAATTTAAATTTGAAGGTCAATATTCAATTAAATCTTAAATTATAATTATAACTCTATACGATAGATTATTTCATACTGATAATAATTAAATGCATAATCAAATGTGCAAGAAAATCTATCCTGAATTAGTAAATAAAACGCATACAAGGAAATGTTCTTTTTTTTTTTGAGTAATAAATACTCGTGGTTACTATGCTTGTTAAAAGTTTTACATAATACAACCGATTTAGATTCTTCATTCTACGGCCTACTCATCATTGAATGACCAGAGAAAAATATATATGTGCGACTTACCATTGTTGTGCTCCAGAAATCTGGAAAAAAATATAAAATATTATTTTAATATTAATTGATTTTATTTTAAAGATTCCGTTGATCAATGTGCTTAATCAAATATGGCATAAATTTTATTAAATGTCCCATAAAGAAGGGAAATAAACAAATACGTCTGTACTCGTAGAAATATGTTACCATACCTCTACGTAAAACCGTCGGATCACTAATCATTGTTGCGTCCTTTTTCGTTCTTCCCAATTGTTTGAAGTTTCCCACGCAACTAACCAATAATCTCTACAAAAAAAAAGTCAAAATTTTATTAATAAATGTATAAAAGAAACAAATTGTATAGAAATGAAATAATCAAGATCAAATGCCGTCTTGAATGTTTATAACATAAGTAAATGCAACTATGTATCAAAAAGATGATCAAAGAAAAAAAGATAAATAAAAACGTACATTAATTAAAAGAAATTAATGATAATGAAGATATGAATGATGAAAAAATAAGAATGAAAATATTACGCAGTTATAAATATCAGTCAAAATAATAAACGGACAATAAATTAATTCTGACGGATAATAAATTAATACGTCGCGAACTAATTTAGAAATGAAGATTCGTGCACGAATAGGATTCGTTCCATTTATGAAAAAAACGAAACGTCTTGCGAAAATATTTTCAACAATTAGTATATATCAGTTTAACATTGATTTGAATATATTCGTATATCGTATGACATGCGTCAATTCTATGTTCTGAATGGATATTGTGAAAGTTGGTAGCACTAACTACTCATCAAATTCACAATCACATTCAAATTTCGCGCGTAAATCGCATTATAATTTTTTAATTTCATTCGAAATTTTATCTGTATCGAAAATACTCAATTATTTGTCTTATATATTTATTCTGATATAAATTGTCTTGACATTATAATTGTATAAATAAAGTTTTTTCCTTTTATAACATTATAATTGTATAAATAAAGTTTTTTCCTTTTTAGACACGTATGCTTCTACAATGTTTGACGTCATAATATTTAACCGATTAATGAGATATAACTATTTATAGTAAATTTTATTATCAATAGAAGAAACTTACTTTCACTATCAACATAAATTGAAGCACAAATTCAAGTAATTCAACACGTTTTTACAACTTAGTACGCGCAAACAATCTTCACTTGAACGCGTGAAGTTACAAACTAATTTCAAAATATTCGTTAATTTCGTCATCCTAGATGCTGTGATTGGCTCACTCGCAGCTCAACCAATCGCGTTATCGACTAGGTAGAAAGTACGTTGAATTTCATTAATTTACAATAAATTCAATAGTTACCGTAAATTTAATAATTATTTTATTAATTTGGTAGTAAAAACTTTTATTATATTATATTATTTTAAAATTTATTATTTATTTAATTTTGTCACGTCCTAAATTGAGATCTGCAGTTAAAAGCACAATGTTCAAAGGATATGACGCAGGTGATGGTGTGAGGTGGAGGGAGGGAAAATTTGAAATAAAAAAAACTTTATATCATAATAATCTAAACTATGTTATAATAATCAGACTTACGCTAGTAGCCTACTATAATTTTACACTGTAAATTTTACGCTGTAATAATCAGTGGAGTCTTTTATGGCAACCTGGCTCTTAACCTCAGACGCTTGGGAATTCTATACTTGGGGGTTACCCATTCTAGAACAGATCATGACCAGCGCTATTTTTAACCTAATTGTAAGATCGTCAACGTTTTTTTGATTAGCTAAAGTTATTGCAGCCATTGAAAATTGAAGATAAACTTATATATATATAATACATTTTATAAATTATATATATTATCTATAATATAAAACTTATATATATGTGTCTCCACAAACTGCGGGAATGCAACATCAGATGGAGCCTAAGTCTCCATCATGTTTACCGGTAGAAAGAGACATTGGAATTGAAATGAGATAGAGAAATTAGTACGCGTAAGACCCGGAGCACTGATGTCAAAGTTGTTCTTGACATTATGTGAACACGTGTAAGATTCGTATAACCTATAATTCTTTGTCCAAGTATCTGTTGTTTTGAAGAACTGTTCTCTGCTTAATCAAACTACTAATTACTTTATCAAACAGAAGGTTAAAATGTTACGAAGACAAGCGAGACTCCGCCGAGAGTATCTCTACAGAAAGTCTGTTCAAGACAAGTTGAAAAACATTCAAGAGAAAAAAGAGAAACTTAAACGTAGCCTGGAACAAAATATACCCATACATCCAGATTTAAGGAAAGATGCTTTGAACATACAGAAACAATTAGCTTGGGAAGATGCTGGGCCAGAGATGGCTGTTGCTATCGGAACAGAAATGGGAGGAACCGTGGGATCTCATGAAGATGATGAGTATCGATGGGCAGGAGTTGAAGATCCAAAAATTGTGATCACTACATCCCGCGATCCAAGTTCCAGATTGAAGATGTTTGTCAAAGAATTGCGCCTGATATTTCCCAATTCTCAAAGAATGAATCGAGGAAAGTATGAGATGAAACAATTGATACATGCTTGTAGAGCAAATAACGTTACAGATTTCATAATAGTGCATGAACATAGAGGTGTACCTAATTCTCTTACCATATGTCACTTACCCTATGGACCAACTGCATATTTCACAATGTCAGATGTTATTATGAGACACGATATTCCTGATATTGGAACTATGTCGGAGCAATATCCTCATCTTATATTTCACAATTTCAAAACAAAGTTGGGTGAACGCGTCATGAGTATTCTAAAGTATTTATTCCCAGTACCGAAGGAAGATAGCAAAAGAATAATTACTTTTGCTAATCACGATGATTATGTATCTTTCCGTCATCACACGTACAAAAGAATTCGTGGAAAGGACATTGAATTGACGGAAGTTGGTCCCAGGTTTCAACTGAAGTTGTACGAAATTAAATTAGGTACCTTGGATGCGGAAACTGCAGCTGACACAGAATGGGCATTGAGACCTTATATGAACACCAGTCACAAAAGAAGATTTTTGTCCGACGAAGATGGCTGGCAGCAAGAGGATGATATTTAAATTTTTATATTATTTAATTGTGAAAAGCATCCTAGTTAATGTAAATAATACATTTTTTTACAATATACGTTAAATTTTCTTATTTTTTTAATTAATATAAATTACTTTTTATATAATTTTTATACCTTGGAAAATTGGAAAATTTATACGATTGTTAAAGCTTTCTGTGCTTTGCACGAGTAAGAAAATGAGATATTCGTTTTTGAATTTCGCGCGTTGCATACTGAATGCATGACTCACGCTGCGCAGTGCATTGTGGTTTTCTTCGTAGCAGTTGTTTTTAAAATCGTCTCCGAAATAAACAAATTTTAGTCCGTGAAGGAGAGCTTGTTGCTGGGAACGGTGCGGAAATTTTTGACAGATGTGTTTGCATCAAGGAGGTAATAGCTTATTAGCGCGTGATGCGCGCCAATATTCGTAAGCCCGCGAAATCTGAGAAAACGCCGCGGCGCAACAAGCTCGCAGAACAACGAAACAACGCTATGGATATGTTCGTGACGCCGAAACGTCAGAAGAATGACGGTGAGATCAGCTTTTATTACGTAGGGAAACATATTTGGTAGATCAGTTGCTTGTTTGCTCGTATCGCTTGCAGTATTTCGCATGATTTGCGCGCGTTCGTAGCAAATTTATCAATTTTTCTGGCAATATTTACTCCAATTTGCGTTTTGGTTACTAGCGCTTTTGTCTGTAGCGGAGAATCATTGAACTAATGATGTGTATACAATCTATTCGTGATCAGGTTTCTTTCACGTATTTGAGAAATTTAACGAAACAGACAGACGCCAATGAGAAAACACGATTACACGAAAATGATAAAATTTTATTCGAACCGGTCTTAATTACCTTGTGGTACTCATAACCTCAAACGGTGATAGTACTCGTCACGCTCGTTTACAAACAGCAATATGTTTATCCATATCAGGTATAGAGAAAATTCTTTTTATACATGTGCAACAAAATTTATATGACACAATACGCGTCCACGAGATCTAACAATTGGTTGTCAAACACATTCATTCAAAAAAATTTCAATATCAAGAAAATTATATTTGATATCATGAATACCAGTGAACAAAGTTTGGATATTCATTTATATTGTGATGTAAAATATGTTTGCATACAAGTAATGATCTTGAATCAGATGTTATGAGAGTGGTAGTTAGATCTTACAAAGTATTTTGGTCCCTTTCTCTTTCTTGGCAAGGTGCAGTCCGCTTTATCTTTCAGATCTAGAGGTCACGGGTATCTCCCGCAGTGGCCGTGTGAGAAAGAAATCTTCCAAACTCGTTGACTTTGAGTCACCAGATGATTTTACGGATAACAAATACAAACGTCAGAAAGCACAACAATTACAAAATCAACAATTGTTGGACAGATATGAATCCCAATGTATATCACCAAATCAGTCAATTCAACATACAAGTGGTGGAAGGCAAAGGAAGAATTCGAATTCTAGCTCTGGACAACAAAGAGTTAAACAAGAGACATTGTCAGATGAGGGACAGTCTTCAGGATCAGAATCAGATGATCCCTCTGGGTTGAACGAGGATGAGAGATATAGTATGGATTCTGGAAGTGATGATGATGTAGATCCTCTTATGATAGATGATAGAGAAGCAGGGTTTAGAAAACTTGAACCACCTGGCCAAGAAACACCTTCACAAGCGAATAGTTTGTACATGCTTGAGAAATGTAAGAAAAAACTAATTATTAAAGATGGCAAAATAATAGGTAGAATGAAGGCACAGCGTAAAGATAAAGGGGTATGTACACATGAAAATTACTAAGGGGATGATTATTTCACAGTTCGATGATATTTTCAGAAAACAAGATTTACCGCGTATATGTTGTGGGCTAAAGAAATTAGACAAGAATTACTAGAGCAATGTCCTTATATGGGTATATAAGATTCACTTGTTTCTCCATACTATGTACGATCGAATTAGAAAACCAATGCTAATGTTATTCGTGAAACGTTGCTTTTTGTAGATTTTGCAGCAATTTCTAAACGATTAGGAGAACTATGGGCTACAGTACCAAATCTGGAAAAATATAACTGGCGCAGACGCGCAAAACGCTTAGCAGCGAAACCTCATTCTTTACCTGCAAGTAAAGATGAGCCTGTTTGGAAAATGCCGCCGCCTGCTTCGCGAAAAAAATTCATTAATAAAATTGGTGGGTTTGTTGGTTCTCATGTTACATTATTTTTTCAAGTACATCTCTGAAAGTTATGTGGTAGTTTATTTTTCTTGATTTGCTTCTCGTGCACGCGTATTAGTCAAAAGTTTCTCAGATATTATATTGTTTTTATGTTTATGTCTCCAAGAATTATATGGTAGATGTCTTATTATCACTTATTTTGTATGCATGCGTCTCGTGTAGAGATAGGCAAATCGAATAACACGATAATATTGTAACATTTTATGTTCCCTGTTTTTTTGTATTACAGGTAATGGGAAAGAACAAAAGCCTGCTACTTCCAAAAAAACAATTCAATTAGGTCTACCCTCGGTTGTAGGAAATGTTCCGGTGTCGCCGCCGTCAAATCGAACTGGGAAAGATTTGGTTAACGAACCGGTGATAGGAACAGGAATGTATAAAGTCGTCGGTACTCAACCAATCGACGTAGCTGCTCATCTCAAGCTTCTTGGTGAAAGTTTAACGATCATTGGCGAACGGTTAAAGGAACACGATGGACAAATAGCGGTATCAGGCAGTCTGTCGGTCCTACTGGATTCCCTGCTTTGCGCACTGGGTCCCTTGATTTGTCTAACGCAACAGGTACCAGAAATTAATGGAGCCAAACATGAAACACTTTCGCAAATACTGGACAATATTGCATATCTTATGCCTGGTTTGTAATATATATACAAAGTTTGAGGACGTAATCGATTAATGTACAATGTAAATATATCGATGACCTGAATATCTATAATTACATTACATTAAGGATAATAATTAAATAATATAATATAGCTTTTCTGTTAAAAAGAGAAAAGAAGTTTAGATTCAGATTTTATTACATATATTTTGTCTGCTTATAAAAGTATGAAATTTTGTATAAATAATATGTTTGTACAAAAAATTACAATAAATATTTAAATAGTTCTGTAACCAACTGTACACGATAAATAAGTAAAATCACTCATTAATCTGGTGAGACAGGAGGACACGTACAAAATAGATTTTTGTCTCCATATGTATCATCTATCCTTCCAACACTCGGCCAAATTTTCTTACTTCTTTTTACAAATGGCTACAAATATATGCATGATTTATTATTTATTCTGTTGTAAATATCAAGTTCTGCAAATATCAACTTACAGCTGGAAACGCTGCCAATTCTTGTGAGTATGGTCTATCCCATGTACTTGATATCACTTCCTCTTGAGTGTGTGGTGCCATTTTCAATGGATTTTTAACAATATCTAACTTACCACTTTCTATGTCATCAATTTCTTGTCGTATATCTAAAAGATAAAAGTTCTGAATATCCATTGACGTCTGTTAAAACAGAAAAAAAAGAAATTTTTAATAAACATGATATTCTTACGAATCAGAGCATCACAAAATCTGTCCAGTTCTTTTTTGTCTTCAGATTCGGTTGGTTCGATCATTAATGTACCAGATACAGGCCAACTCATTGTCGGAGCGTGAAAACCATAATCCATCAATCTTTTAGCGATATCTACAGCTTCGATATTTGCCGTTTTCTTAAAATCCCGTACGTCCAAAATAAATTCATGTGCTACTAATCCTGTCTTTCCTTTGTACAGTGTCTTGTAATATTTCTCCAATTTTTTGCTCATGTAATTAGCATTCAGAATAGCGACTTGCGTGGCTTTTTTTAACCCATTCGGACCCATCATTTTAATATAAGCCCATGAAATTGGTAAAATAGCCGATGATCCGAAAGGAGCGGCTGATACCGCACCAGTTTGTTTTACATTGTTGTGGCCATTGCCCGAACGATTAATTACAGGATGAGATGGAAGGAAAGGTGCAAGATGCCGTTTTCTATAGGCAAAAAACATCATCATTTTTACTGTATTTATATCAAACTAACTATTGTTACTTACACTCCAATAGGCCCCATCCCAGGTCCACCACCGCCATGAGGTATGCAAAACGTTTTGTGTAAATTCAGATGTGATACGTCGCTACCATAATCACCAGGACGACATAGACCAACTTGGGCATTCATATTAGCCCCGTCTAAATACACCTGGCCACCAGCTTCATGAACCATAATACAAATATCAGCGATGGTCTCCTCGAACACGCCGTTCGTTGATGGGTACGTTATCATCAAGCAGGACAATGTCTCTCGATATTTATCTATCATTTCTGTTAGATGTACAATGTCCACAGAACCGTCTTTCTGTACGAGAATAGGCTTCACTTGCATACCAGCCATCTGAGCAGAAGCAGGATTAGTACCGTGAGCAGAAATGGGAATCAAGCAGACTTGTCGATTGTTGTTTTCATTCGACTCGTGATAACGTTGTATAGCTCTTAGACCAGCATATTCCCCTTGAGCGCCACTATTTGGTTGAAAACTTATATTATCATAACCAGTTATAGCGCATAGATCATGTTCCAGTTCAGTAAATAACTGTTGATATCCTTTGGTTTGTTCAATGGGAACAAAAGGATGGATATTAGTAAATCCACGCAAGCTACAGGGCATCATTTCTGTGGTAGAATTTAGTTTCATCGTACAGGATCCCTGTTGAAATAGCCGAAAATATATAATAAGTATATTACCCCTTAACTGATATCATTGAGCCATTTGCAATTGTAACAATTTAGGATTGTTATAAAAGTTAGTAATAAGATCAAAAATTCCAAAACAACCTGTTACAATTACAAATGACTCAATGATACTAATTAAACTGTAAAATAAAAAATCGAATATTCTAAATTTTTATGATTCAACATAAATTATCGTAGTCATCTATAACTCAATGATATTGCTTAAAAATTTAGGATAGTGTAGAATTTTTCTTCGCTGATTTAATGATTTAATTTACCAATGGTATCATACTATGTACGAGAGACACATCCTTATTCTCTAAGGACTTCATGTAACGAACTATTCTTGTTTCGGATTGATGACTGTTGAATACAGGATGTTGCAAATATGGTATGGAGCGAGCAAAATAAGATTTACTCAAGTTTCTGACTAGACAAGTGTCCTCTTTAGATATTTCTTCAACGTTCGTATGTGCCGAGAATATCTTAAAGATATCATTTACATCTTGCTCTGTGGTAGTCTCGTCCAGAGATATTCCAACTCCATTCTCGTAATATCTGAAATGCATTAGCCTTGTCATACCTGTATCTATTTTATTCGCATTATATTTTCTGATTATTTACCTAAAATTCACTTTAAACGCAATCGCATTCTTCTTTATAGTTTTCTGAGGCACTACAGGTAATATTTTTATAGTATCAAAAAAATATTTATTGACCACTTTGTTCCCTGCTTGTTCTAAACCTTTTGCTAGGATAAGGGTTAAGAAGTGTACTCTGTTTGCAATGTTTTTTATTCCCTCAGGCCCGTGATACACGGCATACATTGCAGACATGTTTGCCAGCAATGCTTGTGCAGTACAAATGTTGCTGGTAGCCTTATCTCTCCTGATATGCTGTTCACGTGTTTGAAGAGCTAAGCGGTACGCATCCTGGCTGTTCGAGTCTTTGGTTACACCAATCATTCTACCCGGCATCAGACGAACTAATTTTTGCCGACATGCGAAAAATCCAGCATGAGGTCCTCCGTATCCAAGTGGAACCCCAAAACGTTGACTGGTGCCAACGCATACATCAACTCCAAATTCGCTCGGAGGTTTGAGTATAGCCAACGCTAATAAGTCAGCAGCAGCACAGACGAGTGTCTAATTACGATGAAACGTATCGAACATAATTAAACTTTCAGATTTATTTAATTTGGATTTTAGATATCAAAATACGTACATCATTCGCGTGTGCCTTCTTCACAACATCTTCGAAGTCGTAAATGGATCCTGTTGTGTCGGGATATTGAAATAAAATACCAGCTATGTCCTTCCCGCTGGTATCAGCTTGGAAAACATCCCCGATTTCAAGATTGAGACCTAAAGAAGTGGCACGCGTTGCAATCACGCCGATTGTTTGAGGATGAACTTTGTCAGAAACGAACAACTTCTTTTTCTTGTTGCTTCTGTAAGCAAGAGCCAAGGCTTCTGCTGCGGCAGTACTCTCATCCAAAAGTGACGCATTTGCTACTTCCATTCCAGTCAAGTCGCATATCATTGTTTGATAATTCAACAAACCTTCGAGTCTGCCTTGAGAAATTTCTGGTTGGTACGGAGTGTACTGTGTTGTCCTGTAAGCAGTTACTTTAACCATATTGAAATCACCGTTAAATCGCCGTACAAAGAACGTACCATCCTGGATTCTCGAACATGTTCCTCATAATAGTGTGAGGAGTGCAACAATTATTATATCCCATACCAATATACGAACGCCACACATCATTCTTTTCCGAGATTTGTGTAATTCTCTTTAGCAATTCGTATTCAGCTAAAATGTAATTATTACTTTACGTGAAATCTGTGAGTCAAAATATTGAAATAGATTTGAAATCTTAAACGAAAGTGTTGCTATTAGTTTTCGGCTTTAGAAAATCACGTGAATGCTAATCTAACTACACGAGACTGACCCCTGACCCGAGATATGCTCTTCTCACAATAAAAGATCATTTTATTTAAGAAAAATAATAAAATTGATGGATTTTTAACAGGAGAAATTATTCCATTTTTTTACATAATTAATCCATGCATTTAAAATGTTTATTGTCTGAAATTTGTATGAATATATTTCAAGAATGTTTATTACACTTCACTACGTTTGTTTCAGTATCACAGGGTTATCAGTTTGCACGTGTTTCATATCTACAATCGCGTGACTGCACGCTTTCTCATGCAGTGTTGTTTTTCTTTTTACTTTAGTGTGTGTATCTTTTCAAATAAGCTACACATTTTACTTACTGACTGGTTGCTCGATCTTCAATTCTTCCTTGTAAAGAATTTTTTCTGGGACGGCAGCGTTTGTTAATTCCTCTAAATTCTGTCGAATTAATTGAACGAATTGACTACTTCAAAATAATCTTGTTGTCAAATTAAAATACTACCTTGAACCCAATGGTTTCTAACATTTCCAACTGCTCATACTGTCGAGGACCGATATGTCTTATTTGAAATTCATCTTTCTGCAGAAAAAGTTTATCAAATTTTTCTTTTCGTAAATTACTCAACGTTAATTTACGCGCGTGTTGGAATATATTATGTCTATTCAACAATCTTGTATACTTCGTTAGCCCAGAAATATATAACATTGTGAAGTATAAAGTACAAAATACTCAAATACTCTTCTAATACTAGAATTACGCTATAGTTGATAGATTTCAGGAAACTAAAGAGTTTATTAAAGTAAACAGAGGCTTTATACCCTAGGACGTATCATCTTGTGATGTCATAACTCCTGATTACAGCTTGATCTTTTGTAACCCTAAGTTGTAAAATATCTTAAACAATATTGGGAAATTACCTTTGTACGCGTGTGTGTTACATGTGTTTACAATTTATTCAAACGAGTAAGGTTCCATTAAAACAGTTACTGTTTGTTTCTCGTACAAATTAAACTTTATTTAGAATAGTAAGTAATAGTCTATAATCGAATACAATCATTTCATAAATTTATCTTTATTTTGTGTAAGAATTTTAGCGGATGACTTTGCATCTAAGAACAATGATCCCACTTCTTCGACGTCTTCTTTTTTAATTATTGTCCTTTCGTTTACTTTAGCCGTTAACGACGCAGGAGTTAAAAGTTGCACCACATATCTAAGCGTTGTTTTTGTACCTAATTCACCAAGAGCTGACAGAGCTTCATCTTCGATTTGCAACCCTTCCGTCGTGGCTCTTAATTTAACTATTTGCTCTATTTCCGATCTAGAATAAGGAAGCGTTCGTATAATTAACAACCTATCTAAAAGATCGAGAGGAATTCCATGTGGTGACACGATATCTTCTGTTCCTCTGATTATGCAACGACCTCGATTCGTTGCAAAGATAACAATCGGCGCAATTGCGCTTTCTAGCGCACGATGAAGATACGTAAACGTCTCTATGTCTAACATGTGTACCTCATCTATAAATAACACTCCTGGTACTAATTCCGCAATACCTTGATCAATATACTTATTCACAACTTTATTTATTTCTTTGCGCAATTTATCTGTAACATACAATTTTAATCCACATTTAATTCCAAATAAAAATAGAGAGATATTTCAAATAATTTCAAATCTTACCTGTAATTTCTGTTTTCTTAGGTTTCATTAACTGACCCATCATAGACATAATATCTTGACCACCTTGTGGTTTAGCGTTAGCAACGTCTAGATCATGTAACGTTACATCCTGAATGACTTCCTTCTTTTTATGCACATCACCTTTAGGTAATGGAACATACTCTTCTGCTTCCAAATCAAATTCAGTAGCAAAATTATCGCTCCTACCCTGCCTCTTTACAGCACCATTATTTGCCTCAATGTAAATCACATCTCCTGTCTCTACCTTCTCTTTTTGCAAAGACTCATATATAGAGGGATCCAATTTCAATTGCTTTGTGCCTTTAGCGGTTTTCAATCCAATTACCACGTGCGACACTGTCTTTCCATATCCACCCATAGGATTTTCTGTTTCAACTGGCGTTAGTTCTGTAACTTCTCCCTCGTACACTTCCTTAGTCTCTTTGATTCTGAGACCAATAGCTCTTCTGAAGTTTTCCATCAAAACTTCTGTCTTTTTTATTTCAGAGCTATAGACTTCCGAACCTACCATGGGACAAAATGGCACTTTATTACCCAACTCTTGTGCGATAGCTAATGCAATCGCTGTTTTTCCAGTGCCTGGGGGACCAGCTAATAGCACTGCCCTACCAGCCATTTTCTTCGATTTTATCATGTCAACCACTACCCCAGCTGCCTGAAACATACAGGGTGATAAATCTTTTTTACAAAATATTAAATATTATTATATTACTTCAAAATTAGTGTTACTTCAAAATAAAGTTTTGAATGGAAGAAATCATCTGATATTTATGACGAACAGTTAGTACTGGCAGATGAATGTTTATTTCAATCGAAGAATGTTGGATCATCATCATAATCTTTATTAGTGTCTTACTCATTGATGTGTAATTCTAACCTCACGAGCCATTTCTTGGCCGACAAGACCTGCTGCAGCTTGTATCGCTACTCCATTCTCGTCAAGACCTAATCCTTTTATGTGTGTATGAGCTGATATTCTTTGAGTCTTTGCGGTACTTTTTACCTCTTCGATCTTCATAGTGCTTCAGATACAAGAGAAATATCTTATTACCGTAATAAACACGGTGCATAAATGTTTGATTGATACAACTTCTATCCCCGCTATGTCAAATCGTCATGGGAACGAAGTTTCGGGAGCCGGCACATGGAGAAATCAAAATTCAAAATACCGCGAAAATCGAATCTTTCCTCTAAAATTTTCAAGTTCATTTTAATCTAATTGCTAATTAAATGAGTTAGAAATTCATGAAATGAATAAAAAAAATCATGAAATATACAATAAATACTGTTATAAGTAACATATTAGTAAGTCAGTGGTATAGTAACATATTAGCCTATGTTAGTATGTACGTATACTGAAGTTCATGAGTAATTCGCTTTTCCAACAATAGATGTCTCATGCAGAAATTATTTTCTCCAAAGTACTTATATGAATGGATAGTTTCTATATAAAGACGTTATAAAGCGTATACTAACGGGTCCGATACACCTGGCAGAATTACTTGAACAAGGTCTCATATCATTTAAAAGTTCCCATTAATTTGTGACAACATTGAGTTGTGTTCCTCCACTGAAACAAAGGCCCTAGGTGTGACTTTGACCTGTTTTTTGGAATTTTCTTCAATGTACTCTTTTTTTTTTCAACTTCCTTTTCTTTCAAAAAAATATATTTTATTTGTTTAGAATAATTCAAATAAAAAGTATCAAAGAAAATAAATAGCAAATACAATAAAGTAATTTAATTTCTATCAAATTACATGATCAATAAACAAATAGTAATAATAGTAGTAATAAGTAGTCATACAAAACTATACTTTATGCAATGGTTTTCTCTCTTTATCTTCGCAATCTGGTACTACCACCTGAGTATCCTTCATCTGAAATGAAAATTTCATTTATAAATGAAAGTTTTTTAATATCATGCATATTTATTGTACTCACCTTAACATGAGCATACAAAATAATTCCAACCAGGGTTAAAGTTATACCGATTACTTGATTTATAGCCAGTGTTTCATGGAAAATTAATGAACCGCCTAAAAGCAATAGGCAGAACTTGGAATGTCCTACCATATTGTAACTGATTATAATGATAAGGAATAAGAAGACATAGAATAATATTAAAAAATATTTTTTAATGAAAACAGATAAGAAAGGATACGTTAATGGAGATGTTTTTCCTATAATCCAATAGGAAGTTAAGTTAACAAAGAATGCTACTATACCTGACAGTATAACCATGGCCTACAAAATGAAAGAACATTCAGTAATCTCTTTTTCATTCTTTTCCTTTGCAATTACAATTCAATAAATGTCCTTTAACGTACTATGTCTATTAGAGACCAGCTTCTTGCAAATGTTTGTTCTATAGGCTCTAAAAATGGCACTATAAAAAATAACATAACAGCAGACAGAGGCGCTTGATAATACAACAACTGCATTGGATCCATTTGAAACTCTTTTTGTTTTATATTTACCATCTAAAAACATCAAAATTCTTTTAAAATTTTATTACAGCACTTAAGCTCAAATTCAATTGAATTTAAAAAATTTAGTTGGAGTGCTCCACAAGAAGTACAAGCCGTACCACTTGGTATAAAGATGTTACAAGTACTCCCATAGTTGCATATACCGTTCCAATAATATTGAATTGTATATCGTAATAAAAGTTAATTACTACTCCTAGTATAATAGGAATCAACGTCAATTTAACAAGTATGCTAAAGTGTTTATTATAAACTATCATTTGCATTATTATCACACAGGGTGTAGTCAACATTTTAGCTACTTGATAAGTCCCGACAGTGTTATGAGCTAAACTTAAATTTGTCAGTACAACGAATCCGCAGAACGCCATGGCGATAAAAAACATCTCTTTGATCGCGATATCTTTTATGCAGAAAACATCGAATTTTTCACAAATTATCAATCCAATGAAAGTAATAACAAAGTGTATCATAGACAATGTAATGTTTGGAAAGCCAATGTGAACGTAGAGCCATTTATTCAGTAATACAATTACAATGGAAAAGAATACATTCAATATCAAATAGAATGCCGTGATAAGTTTTTTATTCATCCCTCTTTCTTCACTGTTTGTGCTATTAATGTACAATGATTGACCTAGCTGTTGCAGGTTATATTGTCTGCAACAATGACTTGTATATTTTAATTTTCGTAACGTTAAATTTGATCAAAGCCATCACATTCGTATTCATTTCGTTAATTTTTCTTTTTTTTCCTTTTTTCGTTTTCATTTATACTTATTCTTTACGAGTATCGTTTTATTCGCGGTTTTCGTAGAATACAATATCATCGTGTTATGTGGCGAGGGGGACACTGAATTATGCAAATTAACAACAGAAGGTAAAGTCGACGGCGGCAAAGTAAAGCGCGAAGCGTGAAGCGTGACATCGATGCTCGATGCCCGCTAAAATTTTAAGCAACAGTGTAATATGATTTAAAAGTTAAACTGACATAATAGTTGTTTCGTAAACGAATTAAAAAATGGAAGAATTCCCATTAGGATACAGGGAAGTTGTGCCTGATCAAACAGTACCAGAAAAATGGCACGAAATCACGTTGAACACGGGTAAGTGATCATAACCTTACTTTCACCGGATAAATGAAATTATTCTTTCAGAAACAATTTAAAATTAACTGTTTTTTGCTGCATGCCAAAGAATTATTTCTCATTTACAAAAATGTCTGTCGATTCGACAACATTACACTTTAAATCTCACTATCTGAGATTTCTAACCTTACTTTTCAAATAAAAAATAGTTACACGCTATCTGAATTTTAATTATGTTATTTTGCAGGTGGAAGTCAGAGTACTTTGCAGGACATAAAGGTTCCAGAGAGAGCTGGAGGCTATTCATATAATGATGGCTCAAAATATTTTACACGGAATAGATTTATTTATTGGCGTATTTGTCATGATGTACTTGAGTTGGTTGAACACAGTTTAGATATCAACTTAGCCAACTGCAGAGTAAGATATAAATTTACAGATACACCCATTTTGGACGGTATTTCTATACATGAAACAGTTAATTCAGTCATTATATTAATAGCAACTGTTTCTAGTGTTCATAAATTATCATTTCCTCATCCTGAAAGAATACATAAAAATGTAAGTAATTTTTAGAAGCTAAATATATGTCGTATGATTGTAAATATTAAATGAATGAATTATTATTTTATAGGAACACTCTTTAAGTACATACAAAGATTTAGGTATACAATCAATATTTAGTGAAGTTTCTGCACAAACTGTAAAAAAAACTAAAGAAGATCCTCACATGTTTCATGTAATTACGAATGCAGGAACTACAAGTTAGTAATTTTTTACAAAATTTATTTTTAAATGCGATATTTATGTATTGTATTTTAATTTTTGTCTTTTTATATATAGATTCTCCAGTTCCTCACGCAGCTGCATCATGGTTCATTCCATTACAAGAAGCACTATTTGCTCTTGCTTATAATTCTGGAACTATACTTCTCTTAAGACTAGACACTAAAACTGGTCTTGTGCACACCAGTGAATTAAAACAAGATTCAATAGTGCCAAGATTTCTTAGTGGTATCGCAACCGCTTTCAGAGGACGTAGTTCTGAAGCTCATGTGGCTATGTCATTAACTATACATAGTTGTGAAAATGATACATATCTGTTTGCTTTGTGCCGTGAAGGTAATATTCGGATGTGGTCTTGCAATAAAACTCAATGCGTGGCTGTAACTGATACAGCGATAGATAATCGCGTTGCATCTCAAGGTGCACAAGGCCATATTTTACGAAAAACATTAGGCCCTAATAATGAGTTATATTTAGGAATTTTTTTAAAATTCAATACCAGATGTGAATTTAGCATTTTAAAACCGATTCAGGAGAATGGCATGTTTAAATTTGTTAGAGTATGTACCAAGTTTGCACAAGATGTATGTATTATTTGCATTTATCCGTATTAATTACTAATTATCACTTGAAATGACTTACATGTATTAATCTTTGCAGCAACATTTAGTTGATTTTTTCTTTACTACTACTCGATTATGGGCTGTCTGGAGAACTACTGATATGGATACAGTTGAAGTAACACATGCTCAATTATCATTGACCGGTGCGCGTGTTAACTCTGAATGGGAAGCTGCAGTTCTAGAGCAAACACCGGATAGAGACTATATTCTTAGCGATGCTGATACTGATCCGAGACAAGCATACATCAATTACATTTTTCAACCTGGACAATTTTCTTTGACAGATATAACAAAAGCGTTGAACATATACCGAAGATCCAATTATATGGAAGATCAAATTCTTTCCGCTGCTGAATTAAAAGAACGTGTATGTATTGCGGTGGAAGTTGAGATACAGGCTGAAATTATGGATTACGAACTGATGGACGAAGATTATTTAGAAATTGCAAATCGTTGTTGGTCAAAATTTTATTCTTGCGTCATACAATATCATGCCAACAGCACCAGGCCAGTGGGATTATTGCTATTGCCAAGCGTTTATGGGGTAGTTCTACTTAAAAAGTCATGCTTCTCACTTTTGAGACCAATGGAAGCTTTGGAATATTTAATGTTTTGTAATGAAAAATCATACACATCACGATTCAAGACAACGCCAGTTTTATCGCAAGATGAGGATATATGTCAAGATCTTATTACTTTAATGTCAGCATTGGTTTTATTAGAGGAACAATTATCCGAAGAAACTAAAACAACAATAAAAAGGGAATTGTATCATTTGAAAAGTCCAGATATCATTATTGACGATTTGTTATCAAAGCTAATGTTAGAATCGGAAGAACCGATTAGTAATTTCATCATGCATCATCCTAGTTGTCATAGATTATCAAACGTCAGAGATATATCGAGCGCTATGGCAATGTTGTTGGAAACATTAACATACGATCTTGGTCAACCAAACAAATTAGATCTAAATGATGATCATGATGCCTCGAAACTGTTAGTCAATATAAATCACTTCTTCGGTAGCCACTTGGGTATCTCGGGAATTTCCAAAAGTGTAGCGCAAATAACGCAATTGAGGTTTGCAATCTGCAGGAATTTATCGATCTTGCAACAGATGATACTGCTACGACCTGAGTTATTTGATTCACGATCTTTGCATTCCATAAAGTCATCGCTAGCACCCAAGACAGTAGTGTTAATGCAGGCTTATTACGTTGTAACGTGGATATGTGAATCCACAGCATTACCAATGCCTGTACAATCTCTATTAGACTCCAGTGTTCAGCGTCTAACATTATTGAAGCTCGTTGATTCGAGAGCAAACATAGGATTCAAGCAACATCGATCTTTATCGTTATTAGAATTATTCATACAAAGCAGTGGTGCGAAACATGCTCACAATTTGATGGCTCATACAAACTTAAATGCAACTACATTAATTCCTTGGCATTATGGCATGTTAACACATATTACTTTCATTGCGCAACTCATGTATCCTTTTATGAAACTATCGATTTATTTATCATGTATATGTTTCTTTTTTAAATTTTTAAATTTTTGCAATATATTTTCTTAATTGAAAAATATCAGTTGGCCGAGATCAGGAAATTTCATTTTCCCTGAATGGCTATTGTCCAGTTGTCAGTTTTTGTTGGTCCAAGAATACGTAAGACTTCTGAATACATGGTGCGAATGGAACAGTGCATCGAGGAAATTTATATTGGCGGTCGCATTACTTGAAATGGGAGAAGCACAGAAAGCTTGCGACCATTTTCTTCGAGCTTCCAGAGGAATTTTAACGGACGAATTTTTAACTGATGCCCTACTCGAATCCAGCATACTATCCGAGAATAGTTCGTTAGTTCAGTATTATCTAAAAGTTATCAAATTATTCGAGGAACATAATGCTTCCGACTGTATCATAGAACTCGCCGAAACAGCTATATTAATGGCTGATAAGGACGATCCTAATTTGCCAACACTTCACTCAATAGTATTTATGCAACACCTGAACCTGGGTCACCATATCAAAGCTTACAATTGCTTGAATTCGAATCCAGATGTTGCACGTAGAGTAGATTGTTTAAGACAATTAGTAGTAACTCTTTTTGAACGAAAGAAATTAATAGATTTAATTTCATTTCCATACGTTGATATGTACGAAGATTTGGAAAGGATAGTAGAAGGTAGAGCCAGAAGTGTAGATCTCATGGAAAATAATTACTACAATTTTTTATATAGCTTTCATATAAATAAAGGGAATATGCGAAAAGGTACTAACTTTAACTTATTACGTAATCAACGATTAAAGATATTTTAGAAGGTAATTTATTTTTCTTTTTGTAGCTGCATCAGTCATGTACGAGCAAGCTATGCGTTTGAGCCAAGAATCGCAATCCGTTGCAATTGTATCAAGGCAAGCTCAGTGCTTGTTAGCGTGTATCAACGCGTTGCATCTTGTCTCTGAAAAATATAGATGGATCGTCAGGCCTGTAATCGATCAGAACTATTTAGAAGAAATGGATTATGAAGTACAAACAAGAAGTACCGGTAATGAAGATGCTTTGCATTATATAATAAAGAAGCAAATTGAAGTTCTCGAGTTAAATGACATAAAAAGAGAATATTATATTGTGGATGCGAGATTGAAGATATCAAAGATAAATTCGGAATTACATGTTGTTTCGCATGCCGGACCTTCGGAGCTTATTATCATTCTACCGACTATTGGATTGTACACGACAGCGTTGCATTTATGTGATGAATTTAAAGTTAATAAAAGTTCCGTGCTCGAAAGCCTTACTTCACAGTGTATACGGTTGAGCCGAGGAGAAGATCCAAATGCATGGGACTGGCTCATTCAAAATGATATATTTGATATTGGTTTATCTAATACAAATGTCACGAACACTGCTTGGAGATTGTTAGAATATTTAACGTTAAAACACGAAAATGATAGATGCAGTGAGTTGCATAAAGCAGTGGCTCGGAAATTACTTCAAGAAGGAGCTTTCATACCTCAATGGTTATTAATGTCATACAAGGTAAATTCAAAAACTCATTGTTAATATCAATTGATTAATATAAAATTATATTATTAATGAATGATAACTTGTTATATATTATAGAAACGAAACGCTGCAGAACTTCTTCGTCTTATGTTAAATACTGGTAGAATATTAGAAGCTAGCGAGTTAGGAATTGAATACATCAATGCTGTTCTGGGTAAAGGTAAAGAAAATTTTGGTCTTAAAACGCACTTAACGTCCGTAACTCCAGCAGTTTGGCTACCGCTCAATACTTTAGAAGTGTTATTATACGAATTGAAAGAAGTTAGTGAAAATCCTATCTTTTCTGAGGTATGTAATTTATGATGTTCTTATGTAAATATAATCTTTCTATAGAAGTATTAATGGAAATTCATTAATGCTGATTTTTAGAGCTATCAGAGATTGCAAGAAGCATTAAATAACTATGAACAGAAAGTGATAAGGGTGTCGAAGGATATGATTCAAATGAAATCGAGTAGCAAGATTCGCTAATAGTAAGTAAAGCATTACATTAGTGGAAATCATATAGAAGAGTTGGTCGATAAAGTTATACTTTGTTTCTCTGTTGTAAAAAATATACATATTATAAAAATATCCAATATGTGCGTGCGTGCGTGTAATTGCACTGATAATACAGCAATTTTCACATCAGTCTTTATTTGTAATATTTTAGGAAAATGTATAAAAGATAAAACGTTACGTCACATGTTTTATAATAACAATGGCAGAGAATGTTAAACGTAAATTGGGGCATGGATAACTGACATCAGCGCCATAAATATAATAATAATACCAAGAATTGATGCGACAATCGCGGCGATCATCTGTGGACATCTTTTGAACAATACCTGAAATTATCGGAGATTAATCGTCATTGTAAATTTATGGCGATTAATTGTTTTATTTGCAAACATATAAAAAAAAGACCTGTAAGATATTACCATTAAAAAAATTATTAGTGCAAGAACAAAAATTGTTCCGACAGGTAGAAGAAGAGATGCTGCCCAATAATGTCTCTGTATTTCGGGATCTAAAGAGAATTAATAATGACTTGTTATGAAGCAAAATTGAATCTCTCAAGACTGTCAAGTTACAGTAGTATCGGAAGTCGTTTCTATCGGGATATCTCACCATTACGCCAATGAGTTTTGCGTACTTCGTAAGGTGGTTTACGAATTCTCCTTATGATGCTCGTATTTGTTACAATCACTGAATCAAGGAGGCTTTGTGTGTTTACAGATTGTACTCCACTTGCGAACCAATTTCCTACAATGTACATACTTGTCATAACAGATTTGTAATCACTATTTTCACGTGCTCAAATGGTTAATGTAAATTTAATTAAGAAAGCAGCTTTGGTTTTATACAACTATTTCGCGTCAGTAAAAATTATCATTATTTATACTATAACATACGAGTGCCAACGATAATAATTATTGTACATTTTAGATTTTGTTAGGATACATCTGGGGGGAAGGGGGGGGGGGGGACAAAAGAATCACTAATGATATCTTCAAACCTATTTCTATAAAATTAATATTTGTAAGAATGATTGATTGTATTTTATCCCATTTGTTATTCTAATAATATCTGTCTCATAGTTTTCTTTTTGGATTTAATTTGTTGCCATATTCTGCGATTTTATTAAAGTACATAGTAAAGTAAATACGAATTTATACTAACTGTTATGATAGCTGTTCATCATAAAATAAAATGTTTTTATATAATTTATAATGAAAATTCATTCAACATGTTATAAAATATAACAATGTTATAACAATAACATGTTTAAAATAATGTAGCTAAATTTATATAAACTGGTGTTTTCTTTTCTTTTTTTTTTTGTAGAATATTTTTTTACGTTAAATTTTTCGATAAGTTTTGTTATCAAACACATGAAAAACACTAGTTTACAGATGTCCAATATTTTTATATATATGTATTAACAGCGTGTATATATTCGTGCATAAGTTAAGATATCTTAAGTTTAGTTTTTCTTTTTAGTATTGTTTTATACGCCACGCATAAGTCTGTAATAATTAAATTTATTAACTTATAAACGGATGCGTACAATAAAATGTATTAACAATACTTACCCCAAATCATAAACATTATCACATGTTAAATATAACAGTTCAACGAACTTATGATCATTCAGTCCCCTTTGTAAGAATTGCCGAGTTTAGTTTTTTCAAAATCAATCTCCCGTTTTGCGCAAGAAAACCGTGTACATTTTAATTACACTTTCTAATCGTAAGGAAAGGACGAACAATTCTAATTCTAACAATAATTAAGAAGAACAAAAAATGATTGCGTGAGTGAATAGAAAAATAGAAAAAGAAACTAATACGATAGCAAAATGTTAAATGTTAAATAAATCAGTGAAATGAAACAGCTACATTATTAGTATAAAATGAGGATAGACACCACTGTGCGTGCATCAAATTATCTCTCGCGTCTCAAGATAATGTACGTATAGAGTGTATAATGAATAATTTTACTTAAACGTGTGACAATGCACACGTGTTTACACTAGATTACATTTTTTGCGAATGTAGGAAACAAACGTGTATTTTTTTGACACCCTATATAAATATATGTATGTACACACGCATATACACTATACACAACTATAAATTGTGCGCTAGTAGCATGGCGGGATTGAAAAAAACCGGTTGATTTGTTGATATTTTATACGTAAGTCCCAATTTTTCTGGAAAGTGCTGAAAATGATAAAAATATCGGCATTGAACGAGGAATCTAGTGAAGAGAGTGAAGAGGAAGATGTGCCGAGTATCACGAAAGAAGCTCAAGTATGTGTCGGTGGTGTTAACTTTTAATTTCCTCCGAATATCTAACCTACAAACTTGTCAGTTATTAAAATTTGCCTGATGCCTGAATATACGAATTTTGTGTAAAGTTGCCTATTGTGAAATCACAGACACTATTTCCGCTGTGTACCTCTACAGTGATCTGTTCTGATCAATCATAATTGATTTTTTTTTTTATTCAGAATCATTTTGTTGTACGGATCATTCAATAATCGAAAAACGCGTTATTTACTTCATATGGTTACGTGAAATTCGTGTAAACTTTTGGGTTTGCATTTCTGGAATTTTTGCTTTTCAAAAGGAATCGAACTGACTGTTCATTATTAATGACATATGCTTCATTGAAATGAGAAAAATTACGTCTGTTTCAGGAACAAATAGCTCTTACAGAGTATAACAGGGCTTTAGTGTTGTTAAAAGAAAATAAACAAGAAGATGCACTGGGTATTTTTAAAGATCTTTTAGAAACTGAGTTGCTGGATGAGGTTGAAAAACCTGAGATACCAGATGGTAGATCTAGGCCAATGTTGTCATTGAAATATTCTTGTTTTAAAAATATTGGCGCCATACAAGCTACATTGGGAAACTACGACGAGGCCATAGAAAATTACTGGGAAGCAGCTAATTTAGATGATACAGATGTGACGCTGTGGTACAGAATAGGCACTTTAGCTATGAAAATTTCAAATTTAGAATTAGCATGCTCATCGTTTAAGCAAGGTTTAAAATGCAATGCAAATCACTGGCCATGTTTAGATAATATAATAACTGCCTTATACGCAGTTCCGGACCATATGAATTGTCTTTTGTACATTTCTATGGCGTTAGAGCGTGATCCCAATTATACAAAAGGTTTAGCTTTCCGTGATAAGATATTTAAGGACATTCCATGCCTTGAAGAATGCTATAAATTATACAATAGCAACTGGCAGCTAGATCCTCCCTTATGCACTCAGTATGATCATTTAGTAGGAGATAAATTAATAGCAGAAGCAAAAGATATTGCTACAAGATGGGCAGAAACGTGCAGGATAGAATTCTGTCCAAAACCATTGTCAGATCTAACGCTGAGGAAGGCTATAAAGAATTACACTTGGTTAGATTTAGGAGAATGTTTATTGGATATGCACAGATACATCACAGAAAATAATTTAAGTTTTGTTAGTAGGATTAATTTAATTGTTCATCAGTCTGAGGAAACACTTAAAACACATATTGAGGGAGATACTGAGGAAAATAATGATGTTAATACCGATCAAGAAGTATTGCAAAGTGTCATGACAAAGAATGAAAATGAAATTGGAAAATCAATGGAAATAGATGATGTGAATTCTCCATTTGAAACATCCGATGACAATCCATGTGGTGAATCTGCAATGGAAATCGAAATGGAAGATGATAAAAAGTCATGTTTCAGTGATGTACAAATAATAGAAGATGAAGATCCTTTAAGAATATCAGATATAGATGCACAGTTTGAAGAACAAAGTCAGGCAAAAAATGATTCAGATGAACCAAACTTTGAAGTAGATGAAAATGGAGATAAATTACAATTGGAAAAAATAATAGATGATGGTGTAAATGAAGCACAAAATGATAATATTAGTGATAAAGAGAGTAACAAATCCAATGATGATAAAAGTTTAAAGAAAGAAGACAAAACACAATGTAAAGCTGAAGAAAAATTAAATGAAAAGAGTGAAGGAAAGGAAGAAGTACAAAAGGTGAAGAAAAGGAGAAGAAGTGCTCTGTGCTTTCTGCAACAATGGGCTTGGAGTTGTAACAGCATGAGACGTTCGGCAAGAGTAAGAAGTTCAAATAGAAGAGAAGCTGAAAGAGATGATGTGCAATTAGAAGAGACTCTTAGAAGAATATTTCCTAGTACATTATTGTATGCATTTAAATTACTTTGATACTTATGTAACTTATAATTGATATTGTATAATTTGTATGTAATATTTCAGACCAGATACAGTAAAATTAACCAAAGATGACCCTTCTAAAAATATGGATGATTCTATGGATACAATGGACTTGTATCAATTGTTTGCTAATCAAGAAAACAATAGCAATACTATGGAAACAGTTAAAAGTTCTGAAAGTTCAAAATCACCAAGTCCTGAAACAAGGTAGGTATTTAACAATTTTACAAATATACAAGTTTTTGCAGTAATTAATTTTTTTTCTACAGTCAAAAACAAAATTATTTCGGTACAGAATCTGAGGTAGTCGATGTAAATATGTTTATTAATGAATACAGTGGTAAAAGTAATTTAATGATAATTATAGCAAAATATACAGAATTTTTATGCACAAAATGGAACCAAGAATGGTCTAAAGGAATATTAGAAATATATTTGCAAGCATATACATTCATGAGGTACAATAAATAAATATGAATATTTCTATAAATATATTTCAGGCAATAAAATACATTTCTGCTATTTTACAGGGAGCATATTCCACATCCATCGCCATTTGAAGAAGATACAAGTGATGATATATTAAAATTAGATACTGAAATGACTCTATTATTTGGTGAACTTCATACAGATAAATGGCTGAGCAATAAACCAGATATAATACCTTTTTCAACGTACGATTTATTCTGTTCTATTATGCTTTACTATGCTTTATAATGCTTCTATTATGCTTCAATTAAAAAAAACAATTAAGAAATTCCATTGTCTATTTTAGATTAGATAAACTTGGGACAGGATTGCCATCTGAGGAACTAGGACATATAATTTTTACAAGCGTCAGAAGGGATATTTTAAATGAAGAAAATGTTTATATATTATTAAGGGTTTTGTGGCTCAAAGCTAATATCTTTTTGTGCCAAGGAGACACAGATATCGTTATTGAGACTTTAGAATTGGTAAGTTATTTTAATTTCAGCATAGAGAGATGTTTTCTAATTTATCTCTTATCGGAAGTTATTTTTTAGTTACTAAACCACATGCAAGAATTGGAGAAACAAAACAAAGTCGTTTGTTTGAAACTGCCTAACTGTAAATATAATTCTAAAATCAGTATTAAAATAGTAGAGAAGAAACTTAAATCTATTCAAAGAGGACAAAAATTAGGAGAAATACAAAATCTGTATGACGAGAAAAAATACGCTGAGTTAGCCTACATATTACAAGATACGTTTAAATTCGCAAAACAAGGAAATAAATTTTTATCCGTAAATGATAATATCGTTGATAGAGTACAACAATTATCCATGTTATTAGATAGTTTATGGCAGCTACAACAATACGAAGAATGTTACGTATGGGCGGAAGCTTGCCTTAACGAAGCGTGGCAAAATTATTTAAACGCTACTGATGATGTAGAACAAAAGAAATGGACGAGCTCTATTTTAATGGCACTTGAAAAACTAGAAACCTGTACGATTGAAGTGAGCACTTTTGTTGTAAAATATTTACCGGAAACACGTCTTTCAAGATTAGTACAAAATTTGGTTCATATTGTTTGCAATCAACTAGATGTATCGGAAACTACGGTAGAGATGCCACTTGAGACTGTCTTACCTTGGATCATATTGCATTACGTTTTACAATATAAAGAGGATAAAGAGAGAGCAAAGGCTGAATCGTCGTACAAAAATAAGCATAGCTCTAATTATTCTGAATCAGACGATGAGGACGAAGGTGTTCCAGCATCAATCATGATTTTATTTATTGCTCATGATTTTATGGGAAGACACTCGTGGTGTTGCTACAACGAAGCAAAGCTCTTGTTTTTTACTTTAAATTTAGTTATCCCAAAGCTGGAAACACCTCAGTTTTCCAGCATAAAGTGTAAAGTTTCAAAGTATTTGGAGCAAATATTTTATTGTCTATATGGTCATTATAATAAAGTAAACAAATGTCGGCCGAAGCATATAGAAGAACACGGAGTGCCACAAATGAAAGTGACTTGGGAAGGAGCACAATTATTGTTCAATTTCTATAAACCCAAGCAAGTACCAGAATTTCAGTCACCTAAATCTTTAACAATTAGTGCGGACACAGAAGATCTGTTTAAACGTATAATAAAGTTGATCCCTCCAGAAAGTGATCCGAATCAAGTGATCGATGAAATGATGGCTTATATAATGAGTGAACGAGAGACGATGCCGACCGTCAAGAAGCCTCTGCCGCATTCCATGTCCACTATTTATTATTTGTTGGCAGATTTTTATTTCAAAAATTGTAAATGGAACACAGCTATTCGATATTATTTATTGGATTTGTGTTTCCATCCAACAAGATTGAGTTCTTGGACTGGATTAGCAATGTCGTCAGGCACTGTAATAGATACATGGTTAAATAAGTATAAACCAATGTAAGTACTAACTCAAGTTATTTATTAATATAATATAAGACAAGTTACTAATGTTGGTTATTTATTTTATATTTAGTAACGAAGACAGGCTTCTAGCAAAAGCGAAATTAACTCAGTCCAGTTATCGACACGCTGTCGAGTTGGATTCCTGTAATCATATTATTTGGACTGAATACGGAACTTTCGCGTATGTTGTACATTCATTTTGTTCACGATTGCTGAAACAAGAGACAGACACGTTAAGCATGGAACGATTTGAAGTCTTGGAAACTAGAAAAGAAGAAATGTTAGAAATCGCGTATCAGTGTTTTCAGTCATGCGCTCGTTTATTTATTGGCACCAAAGATGGAACAATACCGCATGATGAAAGATGGCTGTATCAATATATGCTCGGCAAAGTAGCCGAGAAGAAAAATCAAGATCCTCCTGTATATTTAGAACATTATTCGAAGGTATTCGTTATTCAAATCTGTATGCAGTTAGATACAGGCGATATATATTCTAATTTTGTTTATATTTAATTACAGGCTAGTGAATTACTGTATAACAATAATGCACAATATCCACGTAGAATAAGTCATAAATGTCCGCAACCTCTTTCAGTTGAGGCGTTAGAAGTACATTATCGAATTCATGCAAGTATATTAAAATATCTTGAACAGCATGAAGGAAAACCTGTGAAGAAATCTTTGGGACAGCTGCTTCAATATCACCTTGAGAAATGTGCCAAGGGACCTTTTGTAAAGTACACTTCGAAATTAAGCGAAAAGATTAAAGAAGAAAGTCATTCCGCAAGTAATAAAAATGGAGGCGAGATGGAATTTACAACCGAAGTGGACAGAAATGTTGTTATGATTGGTCGGCGTTCAAACAGCATTGAAGAAATTGAAATCGTAGACAGAACAAATAAAGGATTTGAAACGAACCAACGCACGGAACAAGGAAAGACCGAAACACGCAAAAGATCTCTCGTAGAATTACCACAAGATAATGTGAAGAAGATAAAATTAGGTAATGTATCTCATTTGCAATTAATGCAAGATGTTGTAGCTTTAATAGATGATGTAATCACGAAAGTTTGTGATATGGTTTCGCAAAAAGAGAAGAATGATGACATTATGGTATTATCGAGCGATGAAAGTAACGAATCAAAGTCACAAAGGAAAAAAATAAAAAAAACTATTGAAAAAACGAAAGTGCATGAAAAGTTGGAAGACAGTAAAAAAGGTTCGTTAACGTCTTTAAAAATTGGCACTGCGTTCGAAAATGAAGAGAAATCAGAAAACGTTCAAGATTTAATGGATGCTTTGATGAAACAAGCGATGGAGATTAGCCAGGAAACGCGACAATCTTCACCTGAAGATGAAGATACAAGAAAATTTGAAGGAAAGTGGCTACAAAACGAAGATTTGCAATTGAATAATAAAGAAATGAAAGATAAACATCCGGATAAAAAGAAACTTGCAAGTTCCTCTAAGGAAGAGGTGACTCTAAGTAGGAGAGGTTCACAAGAAAGTACAACAACCACGCAAACAACCACGACAACGACCGAAACGAATAATTCTAGCTCCAGTAGTAGCGACGAGTCAAGCAGCAGTGATGATAGTTCTGATAGTGATAGTTCAAGTGACACTGATAGCGATTCTGGTGAAAGTGAAAGCGAGAAAAAGAAAGAAGACTCGGATTTCGTGCAGAAAGAAGAAAACATGACTGAGGAACAAGTTGCAACTTTAATAGCATACTGTTTAGCTGGTCTAGAACAATGTATTTTAAGATTTCCAGAACATTACAAATCATTTTACAGATTGTCGCATTTCTTCTTCAACAATAAGACTGCTAAGGACATAATAAAATGCAGGAATATTTTGTTGGATAGCTATAATTGTCAATTTTATCGAGGTGAAAATTTTCAAGGTCTATTTGCTGATAGGAAAAGTACTAATTTTTTCAATGTAAGTATTTCTCATACGTTTCCTTCTTTTTTTACATTTATATGTAAAATATGTATGTTCGCTCAAGATAATTTTTCCAATACTAGTTGTTGAAAAGCAACCGTATCAATTGATTGTATAATTTCTGTGTTTTTTGACCTGTTGGTTAAATTAGCATAGTCCACAAGTACCGAACCTCTTGCAAATCCATCCATTACAGGACTCACATTTGTTATTATCGATTTTGTTACAAGTTGTGGCTGTAGCATCACTGCAGCAGCCATTGCATCTGAGACACTCCATGAATCAGACTTTGTTAAACTCTTTCGCTCGGCTTTGTTTAAAAAATTCACGATAGAAGAATTTATCCTCCCCAGTATATTTTTACGCCAATCCTGTTCAAAAATTATTGTTATTTTATGCCATTTCATATAAATATCGTTTCCATTATATTTTCTTAAATAATTACCAGGGATATGTGGCTGTTGATTGCCGTTTCCCATGGGAATAAAATGTTTGTAGTATTCTTATGCAGTATCATATAATTAGCTTCTGGATCTTGGTAGAAATTGAATTCAACATTAGGTGAAATATTACCAATTCCAGAAACGCTAGAACCTAGTATAATGTGATTCTTTAAATATTTCAAAAATGAAGGTTCCAATGCAATTGCTGTAGCAACGTTTGTTGATGGGCCAATGCTTAATAAAGTTATTTGATCTATAGAACGCAATAAACATAATAATTATAAAGTCTTCAATTTATCACATTAAATAATTCAATTAATTATTCACGTGGATATTGTTTCACTAAATCTACAAGAGCTACAGCTGCATGTTTAGTTTTGTCTACTTCAGCAATAATCTCTTCTGTAAAATTGAAGTCTCCTAGACCATCGCAACCAAAATAATTATCCTCCGTGTATTCATTATATTCATTTATTAATGCTTTCTCTGCTCCTTTGTAGACAGATATCTGGAAAATATTCTAATATATAATGTTTCAAATAAGAGTTCAAATAAGAGTTGTAATGTACTTACATCACTTCTGTTAGCAACAGTTAAAATTTTAAGTACATTAGTGACTGCATTTTTCACATATGTGTTTCCATAAGAACAAGTAATTGCTAAAATATCGTTTTCAGATTTAAGAATTAAAAATATAGCTACTGCATCATCTGCTCCAGCATCCGTGTCTATTATAATTTTTTTTTTCAAAGCATTAGCAGGCCTTAAAACAATTTTAATAGACAATTGCTTTGTATTTAAACTTTACATATAGTTAACAGAGCTAATATAGCGAAGTCGTAAATTAAAGCCTTAAGTGATGACATCATTAATGTAGCCATACCTAGCATTGTTTGCATCTACTTCGTACCTTATAATTAAACTGCAAAAGTCATTTATGAATTACCATATGATATTGACTTGTAATCTTTCATTAAAACTCTAAATTAATTTGAAATTATTAAGGATAACATATCTATAGAAAAAGCAGAAGAAAACAATTCCAAATTGACATCAATCTTGGATGGTATTTTGTTTCTCATGTTCCTCAGAATGTCTCAAATTGATATTTTTCAATCTCGATGTAAATTTTAGCTTCTGATCAAACTTTTATGACTTCTCTATATATAAGTAACTTGTTAATTTTTTACCTGATACCATACAACATCAAACAAAATGAGATTGCAACAAAAAGATTGCAACAGAACACGCGTTTTTTCATCCTTTTTTTTTCTAAGCAAAGAAGAATTTACCTGTATGAAGTGAACACAATAACTGTAGAAGGCAATAATATGAAAAGACATATCTATTTAATTTTTGCATCAATACCACTGAATTAAGTCGCTTTTATACTTAACTGTTATCTCGCCTGACTTGCTCAACTATATTTATCTTAATGTATATGAGATAATTGTTACTTATCTTTTCAGGGCGTATGGCACATACCAAATAGAGAAGTTGATAGACCAGGAAGTTTCGCATTTCACATGTCCCGTTGCGTAACATTATTAATGCAAGTACTTAAAGAAACAAACGATGGCCGAATGTTGATGCAATTGAGCGTGCAACTTGGAAAAATACCAGAATCAGACAAGTACACTTTAAATAAAAGAAAGATATATTTTACTTTTGATGCACTTTCCAACCATCGAACTTACTCAATCGTGCTTTAGCTTATTTGCTTGTCAGCAAAATACTTTAAATTCATAAAATTATGTTACTTTTCTAGGAAATATTTACGGGATTCAGAAAGGGAGCAGTTGTTTCGCCAAGCATTGACTCTTTGTTTACAATCTCTTAGAACTAAAGTGCAATTAATGGGAACGAGTACTTCTGATGTTGCATCCAGCGCAAATGCAGATGAAAGAACTCAAGTACTTCTTGACACATATTGGGTTTATCAAAGAGCTTTGAAAAGCTTTCAGACTAAAGAACAAACTATACAAACACTTGCTTCCTTGCTAGTCGATACATATAAAACGTATATCGGTAATAAAGTAAGTTAACGTTTCCGTATAGAACATATCCTTTATGCAGTTACTTTGTTTAATATCTAACATTGTTTCCTTGATAGAATTTGGAAGGAAACGTTTTGGAAATTGCCACAAAGTATTGCAATGATTATAATTACAATCGAAAAGTATTAAGCAAGTTCTTCTCCAGTTTTGACAAGCCCCCCACTGAGGGTCAGACATCTCAGCCTCAAGCTACGTCTCCAACTCCAGTAAAATCTACAGTTCTGTTTATAGATTTATATTAAATAAGAACATGTCAACATAAATGTAAATTTTATTTTTGTACAGGTGATCACATCCCAACCTCAAGTTACTTCCACATCGCCGCAATCTTCTCAAAGCCGGAAAACATACAGAAATCTAACATCCACTGGCCGACCAAGAGGACGTCCACCCAATGTGAATAAATATCTACAAGCCATGCAGCAAAGCAGTAACGCAATGAATCAATTCAACGCGAAAGCTACTTTCGCAAATTACATGGGTGCATCAGGAAATCGTTCCTTGATGAATCCCTATTTTATGCATCCGTTGGTCGATCCAAATATATTATCCGCTTTATTAACAAGCAGTTTAGGAAATAGTATAATGGATCCTTTAACAGCAATGAATTACTTGAATCAGATGGGTAATTATCAAGATATTTTGAGGCAATACCAAAACAATCTCTCTTCTTTGTCAAATTTGACCAGTGGATTGGCTAACACTATTGCTACAGCAACTAATATTAACAGTGTACCGACAATGAGCACTTCTAGCTCTAGTATGAATGTTGTTCCCACTATGAGCAATTTAGGCAATTTGAACAATTTGACGGTGCAACAGCTACTAAGTCTAAGTAATTCTACAGCAACGACTGCACGTTCTACGCCTATGTATCAACAAGCAGCCATGACGAAGACTACCACTACTACATCAATAACTAAAGACAGACCTAGTATATCAATAACCCCAGTGAATACAGCATCGTCTAAAAGTAAGCCATCGAAACAAAGTCCACAGAGTGAGTCTTTGCCAGTTCAACTTCCAAAATCTCTGCAGATATCACAGCCACCAAAGCCTATCTTACAACCACCAACTACGCAAGTGTCTCTCTTGAAGCCATCAATTATTCAAACACACGTTAAAACTAGTCCCCCAAAACAAATAAGCGCTCCTCAAATTCGAGTGTCAAAGTCATTGACTGAGCCTCAACCAGCGCACAATCCTTCCTTGTCGCATTCTCCTTTAAAAAGTAATACTACGACTACAAACCCATCAGTCGTTCCGCAAGCTGCACACGCAGCGATAAGTTCGTCAATCATGAAGCAAACGTTATCCATGAATGTACCAACTTCTCATTCAGGGACTTCGTTGCAACATAAACTGTTGTCGAAGAAGAATTCGCAAAGATCATATTCGCAGACAAGTGTGCAAAACGTAATTAGAAAAACAAAACCAACTAAAACAATGTCCGCGTTGCCCGGCAACTTGTCGAATATATTGAACGCGATACCTGGAAATTCGACGATGGCGCAATCACCTTATATACCACCAGAATTGAGTGGTATCTCTGTAAGCCCGGTGAATTCTCAACCTAACTTGAAAGGTCCAAGTACAAAGTACTCGCACTACAAGAAATCATCGAAAACTAAACCAGCATCGATGGATATCTCAAACTCCTTGCAAAGTTCATATTCTCAAGGGAATTCAGTAGAAGCATTCTCAATGCTTTCCCAATTGAAGCAGCATTCGCATTTAGAAATTATACCTCAACAGAAATGTCAACAAATGAAATCCACCATGGAATACACGAAAAATTTGTCCTCGGGTGTGAGTGTACTTCCTCAAAAAGTGTCGGAATCTCTGAGATCGTCAGATTGCAAAAATATGTACGATCTACCGAGAGGAAAGTCGGGTAGTATTTCTAACAAGAAAGGGGAAAAGTCCATGAACGATAGTGTTGAGATTATAACACTGGACGATTGAAACCCCACCACGAAAACATTGTTGATATTTCATCTTTTTCATAAATTTTACGTTCTGTTATGGAGTTTCGTTCATTGATGTATTGTTCATACTGAATGCAATTTGTCATCCGCAATTTACGATGGTCGTGGTGTGTAAATAATAAGATACACAATCATGCGAATAATATTTTCTAACGCTTTTGCAGCGTACAATTTTATTTCCACAAAGAACGACTGAAATAGTTCGCTAGCCTTCTCACTTCCGTGCCTAATGAACGGTTTAATTATCACACGTGAAAATAGATAATAATAGACGTATTCTAAAGTATGAAAATATTTGAGATGGAATTTTTCCATAAAGTATACATATATCCAAGAAGTTGTATCCCAAGAACGAAGTAGTGAAAATTTAACTTTTCACAAGTTAGGATGACACAAGCCTCAGGATGACAATGCTTGAATATCACTACTTTTCACGAAGTTCTGGTAACAATTGAAATAGTAACACAATGACGAATATAATTTCACAACAATTCCAGGGAAACGTTTTTGCATATTAATAAAACGATATATTATTTTTCTACTATGTACATTCATTAATCAATACAATTTTCTTTGTATGTAAAAAAAAAAGAGTAGGCAAGTGTAATTAAATGTTAGCAAAACATGTTTTTTCATTTAAAAAAAAAGTATATATGTATGTATATGCAGAATCCGGCCAAATAACATGTAAAAGCGGGTGCGATTTACGATTCTTTATGATAAAATAAGAAAAAATATAGAATAAAATTTTTTAGTTCGAGGCTTCGTTTTTCGAGAAGATAGAGTTTAAAAATTTATTATGTATATTTACATGCATTTAGATAATTCGAGATGTGACAGAAGAAAATAATTAACAAGAAGTTAATTATTTTTACAAAAATAAAAAAAAATGTAGAATAAAATTTTTTTATTTAAAGTTTTATTTTCAAGAAAATTATTATATATGGATCCTGTATATAACATATACATATATATATAGAGTGTACAAAAAAAGTGAGAAATCTTTAAGAACATGTAATATTCATCGAAATAAGTAAAAAAGTTCTAATAAATATGAATGACATTATATGTTTATTTACATAATACTACTATTATTTTTTTCTTTAAATAGATTTTCGATAAATACGGAATAGATACTGCTATTTCGTAACAAGCTTATTTAAAATTCGTAATAGTAAAAAATTTCGTAACTCATAACTTATAACGGAAAGTAATGATTTTCGAATTCATATTTATTGAGATCTTTTTAAAAGAGATCTTATTTTGATGAGTATATGACTATATGTTTCTGAAGTTTTTCTCAAACTTCTTTGAGAAATACACTCTGCATGTACATATACATACATATGGTATTGATTATTTCTACAAAATAAAAAATTCAAACTATTTTTTTCTTGCAACTTTTTGCAACTTTTATATATATAATTTACAAATTTTGCCATTTATCATGCTAGTAATTTAATATTAAAAACATGTTTTATATATTTGTACAATACTTTAAATATTTATATCTTATGTATATCTATGTTAATTTATGTAATAGTTTAATATTTTGATAGTTTAACATTATTTGAAGGAAAACCACGGACACCTAAACCTTTGACGGCAAATAAGTAACCAGCATGTGGTTGCTTCTTCAACTGATTTTCATCCAATCCCATGCTTGCTGATGTTACATATAAAATATCCAAATTAGGACCACCAAAGGCAACACTAGTTATGTTCTTGGCATCATTAAATTTAATTGAGCGCAACAATTCTCCCGTTTTCGGATTTATGTTGAGAACCTAAATATTAAATGTTTTTAGAAAATAAATGTCAATTATTTCCTCTATAATGTATTTCATAATAATTATGACTCACTATAGTAATGTAATAATACTTACACTGCCTCCACTATACACTGCAACCCAAAGATTTCCATTTGTATCTATTGTCATGCCATCTGGTATTCCAGAAATATCATTTTTTTGAAGATCAAACACAATCTTCTTATTTGCTATCAAATAAAAATTTAAAATTGTAAAATTTTATTTAACATGATGCATATTGTATCATATGAAATACATTGTAAATTTCTTACATATGGTTCCTGTCTCAGAATTGTAATTATATGCCCAAACTTGATAGGTGAGTGAATCAATATAATAAAGTGTATTATTATCAGGATTCCAGGCTAATCCATTACTTATGGATACAGGAGATACTTGTTTATTCAATACATGATCATTACTCATAGAATAAAGGGATCCCAGATTAGGTGGGAAAACTCCATTCTTCTCAAAACCCATTGTTCCTAAAAAAAACAAAAACAAAATTACATTATAAGAATTTATACATCATGTAAGTAATATACTTTCATATAAAATAATTTATATTTATATCCCGATTATATTTATATATTAACCAACCAGCCCATAATCTTCCAGAAGAATCTGCTTTCCCATCATTAAATCTAATCTCTGTTCTATTACAGTCTGCAGAAGCCAATATTTGAGCTGTACAGTTTGCAAGAGTTTTTTCACTGTCCCAAGAAAGAACCACTAAATCTATACCACATCCAGCAACAAATTTGTTAGTGCTGCCTTCTACAGGAATAACAAATCCAACTGGTCCATTTTCTAATAAAGAGATATATTTACAAGGAATATTATTAGAAAAATTAATTAGAAAAAAGATATTAATTAGAAAAATATTTAATCACTTATCTACAGAAATTAACCTACCTATAAAAGTGAAAGTAAGACCACCTGTTGCAGGATCAAATTTGAATATTTTCTGGGCAAATATATCGACGAAGTATAATTTTTGAGAAGTACAGTCCCAATGAGGCCCTTCACCGAGACCATATGGTCCAATGAGTGGTTCGATGGTTACTTCCGACATTTCTTTAATTTAATAAATAATTGCATATAGTTTATGTATTATATAATTACATGCATATAGTGTATTAAAAATACAAAATACGAAAAAAATACAAATATTTATGAGATACTTGCTCAGGCGTTCACTTATATAATATATAGATAGTATTTAATTCAATAATACGCTATTACTTACGTATAATAAGTACCGATGTAAGCAATATCTCATATATATATATATATATATATATATGTATATATTATATATATATGTTTATGTATATATGAAGCCACTATCACTATATATGGTAAAACTCACCTAAACTTCCGGTAAACGTTGAGCTTTACAGCTTACTACGTTCAATGATTTTGAACGAATTCCTCTTTATATATCACAATAATCGATTAGATGGCGCAGTAGTTTATTAATTTCAATGCGTACATATGATAGAGAAGATGATAAGGTTATCGTGAAACAATAAATAAGATTTATTAAAAATAATAATACAATGAAAAATAATATTTGATGAAAAGTGGGATGAACAATACAAAAATTAAATATTGTGACGCAATATGATGTAACTGAGTTGTTTATCAATAATAGTGAAAAGGTATTTTAAAAGTTTGAAAAATAAAAAAATGAAAAAAAGAAGTTTTATTTAATTTTCTTTATTGCTTTCTTTTTTTTTATATTATTTGTGCACAATGATTATGCATAAGGACATTCAGTATGAAAAAATTATTTATAGATTGAATGAATTTGGAAGAACACCATGTACTCCTAAGTTTTCTACAGAAAGAACAAAACCAGCAAGTGGTTGATCTTCAAGTTCCTCTTCACTTAAATCACGGCTGCTTGTTGTTACGTACAACGTATCTAAGAAAAGTCCTCCAAACGTGCAACTAGTTACTTTTGATACAGGAAGTGTCACAAATTGTATAACTTCACCAGTTTGAGAATCAACATTGAGTACCTATTATAACATATTGATATTATTTAAAATAACATTGAATAACATTTAATGACATTTAAAAATCTTACAAAGATACTTACACCACCTCCATTGTATAAAGCTATCCATAGATTTTCATTTGTATCTATAGTCATACCATCAAGTATTCCAGAGTAGTCAGTTTGTGCGAGATCAAATACGATTCTTTTGTTAGCTGAAATGAATTACGTTCATGAATTATGTTCAACATGAGTTTTAAACTTTATGTCTAATATATTGCAAAATATTTCATACATATAGTTCCACTGGTGGAGTCAAAATCAAATGCTGCTACATAGCCTGTACCAGAATCGATATAATATAATGTATCTTGTTGGAGATTCCAAACTAGTCCATTGCTATTAGTAACATTTGATAATTCTTTCTGTATAAACAAATCAGAATCAATACGATAGAAAGCTGCTTCGTTACGAGCGACAGTCCCATTTACTTCTGGTCCTATCATTCCTGTAAAAATACATATGAAACATGTAATACAATTATATAGTATGACACATAATAAATTAGCATTTTATTCTAGTTGATTGATCATTTTTAACTAACCACCCCACAATCTTCCTGAAAAATCTGCTTTTGCGTCATTCCACCTAGTACCATTGGCTTTTACATCAACAGCAATAAGTGTTCTAGTATTTATTTTTGTGGTACCTGCTTCATTAGGCATATGAACTAGAACGATATCATTAGCACTACCAGCTATAAACTTGCCAGGTTGGTTTCTAACAGGAACAGCAAATCCGACTGGTCCATTTTCTAATCATTCATTAGCAAATGAATATTAATTTATGACAGGAAAGATTATTTTTTACTAATTGATTTAAATATGTATTTTGTCCTAAATATGTATATTGTATTTTGTTAATTACCTACAACTGCGCAGATAAGTTCTTTCATTACAGTATGATATGTACATACTTTTTGTGCTGTTACATCAACAAAAGAGAGTGTTTGCGAAAAAACATCCCAATGAGGACTTTCACTATGTATAAATTTGCCAATTACTGGCTTAACAGTTGGTTCAAATCCCGGCAATACAAAAGTTTCTCTATAAAAAGAAAATGAATATTTCAAATGATACGAAACAGTAATTTTCATTAAGAAGCTTCTTTGATTGATCGATTCTGTAATTATGATACATTTCACAGTATCAGAGAATATTTTTATTCGCGTAATTTTTACAATTTTACTATTTTATATATTTGCATATATAACATATAGTTGATAGTGTTGGTATATTTTTGTTTAAAAGCAAATGATCGATTGATCGATTGATCGATTGATTGATTATGATTGAGAGAAGCCATTTGTTTATGCTATGAGAGCTTATGTGTAAAGAACATATGGATTATGAATTCGGAGATCCTTTCACTTACCCGTCGTGAACGAAGAAACCAAGGTACAATGCGAGAAGTAAAACGTTACAAACAATATTTTTCATTGTATATGAGACAATGTTAACAACCAAGGAAAAATAACAAGTAATACCAAGTGGTACCTCACCTGCTGTTTATATAGTACTTCACTGAACCCGCTGGTATCTGTAAAATATGCAATAGATCATTTAGAATATGTATACTAGTCTCGTCGGTGCTAAAAGATAATATACTAAAAATATATTAAGATAAAATACTAAAAAACAAGATTGATATTGCTGTTACATGGGCATGTGACAATTTACATGTGTATGCATGGATTTGCTTGAATATTTATTACTAATATTATTTATTTTCTTCATAACAAAATAATTATAAATTACAATGTAATTTCACTTAAAAATTAATGTTCTGTTACAAATGTATACGATGCTCAGTTAGGCAGAAAATATAAATTTGAATTATGTATTTTTGTGTAAGTACTTCTATTTTTATTTGTATGTTTTATAAAATTTTTTTTATATGTACGTCCTATGAAATATGTACTTTTTTTGAACTGTTATGGTTTTAAAATAATAATTTTTATATTTTCATAAATAAATAAATAAATTTATTTATAATATATATAAATAATAAATTATATATATATATATATATATATATATATATATGTATTATATAAAGATGTTTAAGATTGTTTCAGATTATAAAGATATAAAAGTATTTCTACAGCAAGTGCGCTCGTTATATAGAAATACAATTAATAATTTAAATTTTTTTAAATCTGATCTTGCTTGATTTTAAAACCGCATATTGTTGCACAATTCACCAGTGCAAATTTATGCAAATCACGTATTATCGATAGAAGAGAAAATAAATTACAGTTCGAAAATAAATTATAGTTCGAAATGATATATTATTTAAAGGAACATTAGTCGATATAAGTTATCTTGAATGCAAATTATTTGTATGATAAATAGTTTCAAATTTTTTTAAATATACATTTTTTGGTCATTTATATTAATTTCTCATTTTTCTTTTTAGTTTCAATTTCAATTTTTCATTCAGTTCTAACACGTTCTCCCATATGTTTGAATCTCCAATTGAATTTCTGTTTTGTAAAACAATAATTTTTGTATAAAATCCATTTTTGTGTCGTAATATTTATTTATTTGCAAATTTTTTTACAAAATTTTACAACTGTTAATTTGCTATTCTTAATGCTACTTTTAATTTGCTACGTGAATTAGTATCATACGCATGTCGGGATTCAACAGACATATGTACATACATTGAAGAATTTTAAAAAGCATTTTAAGAAGCACATGTGCGCGTTTGTTTGTACTTGTTTTAGGTAATAATAACCACAAGCAGAATATAATTTTATCTAACTCTCATGCATGCATTTTCTACTAGATCTCTCCGTAGATTTATTTCATTTTCTTATTTCCTTTGATTTTTCCTGCCATTTGATTTTCCTTCATTTTCTTTTTGTCAGCGTCACCGCACCGTCACCGTCCAGTCGGTAAGGTAGAACTGTGGCGCCATATTTAATTCGATTGTAGCGCCAGCTGGCATTGCTTTCAGGAATTTCTCCCTCGTGCCGGCCAACATCATCAGGTCACGTGACAGTAGTATATTGATACGTGTCGACGAGGAGAGCCACGCACGACTCGCTACGACTTGCCAATCGGGCATACGCAGCCGAGTTTTCCTCGGGTTCTCGTTTTAATCTAGTGTCTTTGCGGCATTGTTGACTCGAGAGTAAGTGAAAAGACGTCGTAGCACCGTGACCCTTTAGAATAGTTACACCTCGGATTCGAGATGGGATGTAAGTACGCCGCTTCCAGACAAAAAGTCTCGAAAGTCTTTTATTTAGGATTATAGTCAATGTGAATCGACGAGGACCGTAACCTCTCGATTTCCTTTCCTTCGCAACATATTGCTCGTCCGGCTGAATCTTTAACGTTCCATATTTTTGATCGAGCGATTTCGCCGACGCGAGAATTAACTTTCCACTGTGTGTTTTTCAGTCAAATTCCTAGAGGTGATAAAGCCGTTTTGCAGTATACTTCCGGAAATAGAGAAGCCGGAACGTAAGGTAAGTCTGTATTCAGTTGATCATTCTTTTGTTTTGTATTTACAATATTGCACACTCGTTAACGTAATTACTATTGTTTGTGATCTACAAAAGATCTCTCTGTTGATGTATCTGTCGAATTCAATTCTACTTGAAGATTTCTTTACACTTTAAACAGCGATTTAAACGTTCAAATATTTTTGTAGATTCAGTTTCGAGAGAAGGTACTATGGACTGCGATTACTCTATTTATCTTTTTAGTATGTTGTCAGGTAAGGGTTTTGTTTACAAGCGCCGAGTCACGTTTCGTCAAACTTTTGCAAATCTAATAAATTGCATATTGCACCTGCAGATTCCTCTGTTTGGAATTATGTCTTCAGACAGTGCCGATCCTTTCTATTGGATTCGAGTAATTCTTGCATCAAATAGAGGAACTCTTATGGAACTGGGAATTTCTCCCATTGTCACGTCTGGTTTGATCATGCAACTATTGAGTGGTACGAAAATAATTGAAGTTGGCGATACTCCAAAGGATAGAGCTCTTTTCAATGGCGCTCAAAAATGTAAAGAAATTACAAACTGTTTTGAAAGTAATTTTGTATGTTTTTAAGTCATAACGTGTAACTTGTTCTTGGTTTTCTTTTGCAGTATTTGGAATGGTTATCACTGTTGGTCAAGCAATTGTATATGTAATGACTGGAATGTACGGCGATCCGACAGAGATTGGAGCTGGCGTTTGTTTATTAATTATTATTCAGTTGTTCGTTGCTGGATTAATAGTATTATTGTTGGATGAATTGCTCCAAAAAGGATACGGATTAGGAAGCGGAATCTCTCTCTTCATTGCTACAAACATTTGTGAGACAATCGTATGGAAAGCGTTTTCTCCAGCTACAGTTAACACTGGTACGATTTTGTTTATACTCCTCCACATTTCTGAACTTTATAATTATAACGACATCTTTGTTTCAACGTCATCAGGGCGCGGCACAGAATTCGAGGGTGCAGTAATCGCATTGTTTCATTTGCTCGCTACGAGACAGGACAAAGTTCGAGCTCTTCGTGAAGCGTTCTACAGACAAAACCTTCCCAATCTTATGAATTTACTTGCAACTATCCTAGTGTTTGCCATTGTGATTTACTTCCAAGTACTACAGTGGAACTATTTTAATTTGGGATATACACAAAAAGTGTTGATTAAAATTATAATGATGTTTTTATTTGTAGGGTTTCCGTGTTGACTTGCCAATCAAATCTGCCAGGTACAGAGGGCAGTATAGCAGCTATCCTATTAAACTATTCTACACGAGCAACATTCCCATCATTCTTCAGTCTGCGTTGGTGTCGAATTTATATGTTATTTCACAAATGCTGGCTGTCAAGTTTCAAGGAAACATTATTGTGAATTTGTTGGGAGTGTGGTCCGATATTGGCGGTGGTGGTCCAGCACGATCTTATCCTGTTGGTGGATTGTGTTACTATTTGTCACCGCCAGAATCTGTAGGCCATATACTTCAAGATCCCATCCACGCTATTCTTTACATTCTTTTCATGCTTGGTTCTTGTGCTTTCTTTTCGAAAACGTGGATCGAGGTTTCTGGTAGCTCAGCAAAAGCCGTAAGAACTTGTGTTATTTCTTTCTTTTTTTGTTTTTATTTTTAATAGATTTCATATCGTGATTAAATCTAAAATTGTTCTGCAGGTCGCAAAACAGTTGAAGGAGCAACAAATGGTAATGAGAGGCCACAGGGACAATTCTATGATTCACGAATTAAATAGATATATTCCGACCGCGGCAGCATTTGGTGGATTGTGTATCGGTGCTCTGTCTGTACTGGCCGATTTCCTTGGTGCAATCGGTTCAGGTACTGGTATTTTACTCGCTGTCACGATCATATACCAGTACTTTGAGATCTTCGTTAAAGAACAAAGTGAAATGGGTGGAATGAGTACGCTACTTTTCTAAACTCAATTTACATAGACTTTAAAAGTGAACTTTTTTAATTCTGACTGAATAATAATTTATTGTGAAATAAGTCCACTCGACGTTGAATAGTGTTGATTACTCGATGGAGTAATGGAAGGTCTTCAATACGAATCAAATCGCACATTTTTATTCCCTGTTTGCCGTTAAGAGGATCACATGTATAAATACATATATATTACATGATAGCCTTTTTTCCTTTGAAAATTCTTTTTTCTTTTTTTTTTTTTTTTTTTTTTTTAAAAATTTAATTTTTTTTTTTT